TAGTGTTGGCCATTTAGGGAAGCGAGAGGTCTGAGACATTTGTTGGTGGTGGGTTCTTGGCTGAGAGTTCCTTCCCTGGGCCTTGCCTTCTACTCAGGGATGCTGGCCCCCATTTGATGCAGCTGCTGAGAAGTCAGGGCCCAGCTCTGGCACTGGAGACCCTGGAGGAGCAGGGGTACCAGGGACTCTGATCTGTTCCTCATTCCTTCCTCCGTCCAGATGGTGTGAGCCTACCCCAAACACTTGCAACCCTAACCACTTTTACTGAGAGAAAAGTAGTTTATAAAGTGGAATGGAAGCTCCCAATTCAGTACGGGTGGGATAAGTTAAGGTTTACTTGGCTGAGACTTATTTTAACCGGTGGTTCCTGCCTACTTCTGCTTCTCCTTTGCTGAACATGAGAATAGTTAATATAGTAGTATCTAGATCCCTGCTTGCCTCAGAGTACAGCAGGTGACAGGCTAAATTTCAGAACACATGCAGATCCTGCAGCCTAATTAACTTTAAGGTGCCAAACTAGGCTTTGTGGGCTGCAGTTCATGTGGCCATGACATCTCAGCAGACACTGACGTTCTGAAACATGGCTGTTCCTTCCTCACTGCCTGGTCTGACAGACATGGGGTCATTTTCCCGCTGGCTGGTAGTAAAGAGGAGGGTAAAGTCCTGTATGAGGCAGAGCTTCAGCCTCAGACACTGTCACAGATAGGAAGATGACAGCACCCAGAGAGGCCTGTGGGTGCAGGAAAGGACACGTGATGAATGGACCACAGCTTTTCTTAAACAACATTCCCTGCCTTATCTTTGTAGCAAGAGATGAGCCTATTTCTTGGTATGAGAAGCCTGTCTGCTCATCAGAGTCAAACTGTTACTAGTCTAAGTGTCCAGAGAGAATGAAAACGCTTTCAGCCAATATAACAGCTGTCACTGTACTGAGCACGTTAAGAGCAACGTCCTTCTCTGCCTGCTCCTCTCCTTCCTGGACTGGTGGGCGCCCCTCCTTAGAGGCCCCAGGGCCCAGTGTCTATTCCTCTGTCATCCAGGCTGTGTCAGGCCCCTGGGTGGCTGCTCTGGCTCCCCTCTCATAGGTAGAGAACATGGTTTCATTTCTACTCCCACCACCTGCTTCGAGGTTGCCCTGCCTTTTGCTTGTCTGTTTGGAGTTTGCCCTGGATTCTGGCTCTTTCCCAGCTGCCTGTTGCTTCTTCCGGATGTGCACTCGGGCCTCTTCACCTCACTTCTCTCCAGGAGGCCTCCTGGCGCAAGCTTCTGGAGCTTTGTGCACGTAAGCCCCACATCCCTGATGAACCCAGGCTGCCCAGGGAGGTGCTGTGTCCCTGAGAGGATGAAGACACATGGAAGACACTAGACACACTGAATGCTGCTGGATGACATGTTTGCCTCTGAGACCTCAAGTTCCTGGAGGGCGGGGATTGTCCCATGGTGCGTTACTGATGGGGAGCTCTAACCTTGACAGTGGTGAGGGAAGAAAAGGGCTGTAGCTGCCAGAATGGGAATGGTTGGTGACCTTGTGGCTTCCCTGGTCCAATAAGAGTGTCCGTGTTCACAGATGGGAGCTGGAGGCCTGACCCCTCTGGCATGTTTGCCCCTGCAAAAGTCTTTTCCATACCCCACTGACACCTCACAGCTGCCCTGTGACAGAGGCTGCCAAGGCCCATTCTCAGCCAGGTGTCCCGCCATCAGCTCAGACCCAGCAGGTCGAGAGCTGAGCTCGTCAGCGGCCTAGAGCAGGTTCCCCACTTCCGAGAGTTCCCAATCTTACCGGCCGCAGGCTCCTGGCTTGTAAACATGATACACTCTTGACTCACATTTAGCTTTACGCCAGCTCCCACGGGTCCACCCAGCTCGCTGTTTGCCAGGTACAAACTCATCCCTGGGCAGAGGGCCCATGGGTCGTCCTTTATGGTCCTTCTGTTGCAGGGGACGCAGCCTGGGCCCTCTGGGCTTGCCACCTTCTAACTGCCTTCCCACCTTTCACCCTGGTCGTAGGCTCCAAATGGGGCCAGTCCACTGAAATATGAGATCTTTCTTTTTAAAATCTCTGTCGTGTTTTCTTCTGAGGCCACTTGATTTGTTGTGCACTGGTGTCCAGACCCCTGAGGTAGTGGGTGTGATTCCCCAGCTCCTCTCATTAATTGCCCTTGTCAGGCTTATGTGAATCCTGTGGAAGGTTTTGACTCATCTTGTGCAGCTGGATGCTCCTGTATAATCTCATCAACCGTTTTGACATTTGCCAACTACATCCTGCCCTTACATGCTTCTCTACATTTCCTCCACCACCCGCTCTGCCTGGAATAGCATTCTCCCCTTATCTTCTGAGAAAGCTCCTACTCACCCTTCAAGACCCAAGGAAACTGCATACCTGCCTCTTTCAGCACGCCTCACCCTGTGTCATAATTATTTGTACATACGTCTGTCTTCTCCACTGGACCGTGTGGTCCATGGGGGCAGGGACTAGGTCTGATTTACCAGTATCCCCCCAGCACCCAGCACAGCAGCGTTCAGGGAATGTTGGCTGCATGGATCCATCATTTTATTCACAAGAATTTCCCCATAAACTTCCTTGTGCCAGGTACTCTGCTAGGTACTGGGGACATAGGGATGAACAAGGCTGACAGGGTCCCCCGGCCTCCATGGAGAGGGTTAGCAAGGCCAGTTAGCAGGAAACAAATATATGGACAAGATACTTTGGAATTGCTGTGCTGTGAAGGGGCTGCTTTAGATGAGGGTGTGCAAGGAATGCTTCTCAGAAGATACTTTTGAGCTGAAGCCTGAAGGATGAGAATAAGTCAGCCGTTCAGAGAGCTGGGGAAGTGAGCTCAGGGTGGAGGAGATGGTAGGTGTAAACTTGCAGAGGAGGAAAGGGTCTTGGCGTGCTGGGTGGGGTGGACAGGGGACCAGTGCTGCCAAAGCATGAGGAGCAATGGGGAGAGCCCTGTGGGGTTGGCTGGCCAGATCCTACAGGCCTCTTTTGTGGGTCGTAGTAAGGAATTGGGATTTTTTCCTGGGAGCGGTGGGAAGTCCTCAGAGGGAAGTATTCCCAACTTTTAAGATTGCAGGTGGTTGAACAGGTGCGAATGTGCTGAATATTGCCCAGCTCTGCTGCTTGCCCCTCTCCTGCCACCTTGTCTTTCATCCCCAGCAGGCTTGCTTCTGTTCAGACCCCGAGATTTGCACCTCTATTTGTTCCGTAGTCTTCTGGGCCACCCTTCTCACTGCTGAGCAGCTCTGTTCCTCATTATGGCCTTGCCTGGCTCCTGCCATGGCCCTGATATGCCACTGAGACTCCCACCCCTCTGCTGGTTCCCGTTCTCATTCCCCTGAACTGATTGTGCAATGGTTCTCGGCCTGCTGAGGCTCAGCGCCTGTTCCTGAACCTTCCTTGGCCTTTGCACCTGTGAATTACTGCCCTCCCCCTCCACACTATCGGTTGCTTATCTCTGTTTGCAGTGCCTGCCTCCTCCAGAGGAACCAGCCTCTTGGGCTTATCCAGGTTCTCTCTCCTGAGCCTACCTCATTTCAAAGTCTCTCATCCAGTGAGCTATCCTGGCACAAATGCATCCTGAGATTATCTCCTCACTTACAAACAGAAATAGCTGACATATATCGAGCACTTACTATGTGCAAAGAATGTCCTGAGCATTTTCTACAAAATATTAGTTACTCGTTTAGTCATGACTTCAACCCTGTGAGTTAGGTGCTGTTACTATCCCCATTCTACAGATGAGGAACCTGAGGCTCAGCTCACACAGTAAGTGGCAGAGTTGGGTTTGAACCCGGCCTGTTTAACTGCTACTGTCTGGTACAGTCTAGTGTGGTTCTTTGTGGATCCTAAGATCCTTATCCACACCATCTCCAAAGCCACTTTTCTGTGGCTGCTCACTTTTCTCTCTTTACTCTGAAGGTCCACCTTCACGGGGAAAATGAGCAGAGACCCTCAGGACCTTCTGTTTCCTGACCTGTGCCATTCTTGGGCATGGGGGCCTGGCCTCTGTTCTCCACAGCACCTATGCCCACTGGGCACACGCATAGTTTTTGCTGAACGAGCAAACAATAACTCATGTCTCCAGTTTATAGATGTGAGCTAAGTCTTTTCTTAGGATTACAAGTGCTGTTATAAGTCCTCCCTGCCGCCCCGGGAGGGAGTGGGAAGCAAGAAACATGAGAAGAGGCTACAGAATGACAGTTTAGCTTAAAGACCTTTCTTAGAGACAGAGTGGTCCAGAGATGGAACTAATTGCCATCTCTTCCAGCAGAGGGGAGATTCAGCATGAGTGGCTGTACTAGGTATCCTTGGAGAAGTTCTCCAGCCTAAGAAGGTAGGATTCTGCACCTTGAAAAGTGCTGAGTAGAGTAGAGGTAAAATAGTAAGAGACAGTGCTCCTGGTTCCTGGGACAGTACTCACCCCATGACAGTGTGTCCGCAGCCTTCCTAGGCTGGGCACATTTGACAGTTCGAGAAGTGAAAGTGGCAGTGACGGTTGAGGCCTCTCAGCCTGGATCTCAGCCCAAGGAAAGTGTTGCAGATGTGGGGCAAGTGCTGCTATAAGACACTTAAATGGCTGCTGGACCGTCCAGATCCCCACTGCTGCAGGGCACGTCCTGATAGAGTGCTCCTTAGCAGTGCTGTTTCCCGACACAACATGTAGGGGAGCCTTCCCCAGTGGTGGCTGGAGCTTCTGGAGCCTGGGACTATAATGATGGCGAGGTGTGGCAATCGCTGTCTTGCTGCTACAGGTCACTCTGGAGAGCCCTAGTGGCTTTTAATTACAGAATTGAATGGAATCATGTGCTAAAGATTTGTGGAAAAAGAGCACTCATGCCAGGAGGGAGAGGCCAGAGATGGCAGAAACCACAGGTCAGCTACCAGGATTCTTAGGAGAATGCGCTGTATGATGATGGAATAAGAGGGTTTTGTGGTCTTGTGTGCATAATGTGGAACTCTCTGTAATTTTCCCTTTGTTCTGTATTTGACTTTTCAGTAAGAGAAGGAGGAGACTGAGCAGGCGAAAGGAGTCATGGCTTCTGATGCTAGTCACGCGCTGGAAGCTGCCCTGGTGCAGATGGATGGGATCATTGCAGGTACGGTCATGGAATCCAAGTGATCGATGGCTTGTCCTCCACACTTGGGAAACTGTTTTCTCTCATTTGACTTTTCTTTCTTGGCACAGAGAGAAGCCCCTCGTTAGACTTATTTTATTGTGCATGCCATCTCTTTTTTAAGAGAACAAACTCATGGAATCTTGGATATCTGGTGTGAGTTTAGGTCTCTGTTGAGACAGTGTGGATGTCCCATATGTTAGTCTGTCTGTAACTGTGTTGCAGTTTGGATCCTGGCTGCATGGCAGTTTGGGTGCGGTGAGATTGATTTTATTAATTTTTCAGAGCACATAGCATGGCTGATCACGGTGGAGCTGAAACTCGAAGTCTAGCAGACTTGCCGCCTGATGCAGGTGTCAGCTTGCTTCCACAGCTAGGAGTCAAGAGGCAGTTTTGTTTTGATTCATCTCATCACCTAAAGGATGTTCTTTATGCCTTATTGTTTTTTATCCATCTCAACTGTTTGACTTCATGTTTGCGTTAGCCAGTTAGGAACGTTCTCTAGAAAAGATCCAGCAAAACTAGTTAATTGGAAAAGACTGCCAGTGGGCTGTTCTGGCTGATTAACTCCTTGATGGGAGCAACCATAGCCAGTATGGTTAGAAAAAACCTGGCACTGAAACTCTTTCCCAAAGGACGCAGTCTTTCTGTCCTTACTTGACACAGGTCAGTGGCCTTATTTGCTGACTGGCATGCTTTTTTGGGCCTTTGCCCTCATTGTGCGGAGCTACACCTGGAGAAGGAAGGTTTGGGCCGATTGTGGCCAGAGCTCCGGGCATGCATGGGTACCTGACACTGTCTCTTTTCAAGCATTTGCTTTTCCATCCTGCAGGATACATCTGACTCACTGAGGGTGCTGGTTGTTTGTGCCTGGGGGAGGTTGTCTGTGTCTCGAAGCTTCTTCATGTTATAGGTGGCACCATATCGTGTTCTAGCTGTCATCTGTCAGGATCTTAATTTCTCAGTGAATGAAAGCGCCCTTGAGAGGCTGTAATTAATGTCCCACTTTTCAGAAACTCCATAGATTAGGATGTCCTCTTGTAGGTTAGGGTCTCTGAAGCATTTTTGAGGGGAAAGAGTCAAGAGTGTGGATTTCCTAGCAATCCTTTTAGAAGCTCCCAAGGGCTCATGTACATTGAGATCGGAGCCACAGGGTCAGACCCTTAGACCAGCTCAGGTCATCAGCACTTCTGAGCCCCCAGCTAAGGAGCAAGGAGGAGACTCTGAGAGAGCCCTTGGCAGAGCACAGAGCTCTTGGATGGCTGTGAGGGATGAGTGAGACACCTCCTAAAGAAGTCAGTCCTGCTTCCTGCCTCCTAATTTCTCTACACAGGCATTCCTAAAATGACGAAGCCTCTGGCAAAATCCCCTCTGTCTCTGAGAGAGGATTATGTGGCTGGATCCTCAGGGCCTTGCTTTGGCCCAGATTCTGCAGTGAGGATCTGCGATGGATATGGAGGGAGGGGTCCTGGATGTGGGTGTGTGGAACCCAGGGGACTCATCCTTCTACCCCTCCAGCACAAAGTGCTTCCTCCTTCCATTATTTTAGTTCTCTACCCTGGCAGCTTCCTTCTAGAAGGGCTCCCTGGGCTGTTCTGTCTGGAACAGGTGTGAGAATTTTGTGGAGAGGCCATTTAAGACGTTCCAAGGCATTGTTTGCAGATTGGTCAGGAGGAGCACCAGTCAGACTGCTTGGAACAAATCTTAGTTCTACAACAAGTTGTTTACATGATCTGGGCCTCAGTTTCCTCGTATTTAACATGTGAATAATAACGGTACCCTCCTTAGAGGGTTGCTGTGCTTATACATATAAGGTGCTTAGAACAGTGCTCGCACGTAGTAAGCACTATAAAAGGTTAGCTCTTGGTAAATTAATGAGGGACGAAAAGTCTTTCTCATGTTAAGTCTTGTCTAGGGACACAGTAGACTTCTCATTTATTCAGGTCCTTATTTCACCCATTTGAGTTTTGTGGTTTTCATTGTGTAAGGCTTATGCATGCCTCGCTAGACTTGCCCGGGGTCTACAAGATTAAGATGTAGTCTTCCGAGTGGTCTCTGCTCCGAGAGTATCTCACACAGAGTAATCCTAAAAATGGCCATCAAATCACATCACTCCTCTCCTCAAAACTCTTCCATGGCTTCCCACCTCAAGATAAAATCTAAAGTCCTCGTCGTCACAGCCACCGATGCCATGTGTGATTCAGCCTTTGGCTGCCTTTATGGCTGCGTCTCCTACCACTTTCCTCCCGGCTTATCTCGCTTCAGCCACATGCACTGGCTGTCTCAGCGCCTTTGTGCTTGCTGTCTCCTCTGCTGGAATGCTGTCCTCCAGATACACTCAGAGCAGATCTCAGCTGAAAGGTCTCCCTATCAGAGAGGCCTTCCCCAACCCTGTCTAATATAGCATCTCCCCCGTCACTCTCTGTCCTCGTATCCTGTTTGTATTTCTTTAGCACTTTTCATCCCCTGACCTGTTACACCCACATTTGTCGCTTCGTTTATTGTCTGCCTCCTGCACCAGAGTGTAAGCTCCATGAAGACAGAGGCTTTGTCCATCTCCAGGGCCTTGATTGGTCTGTGGCACATAATAGGTGTTTAATAAATATTTGTCACGTGTATCTTTTATTTACTTTTGTGAATAGGCTCTCCTGTTCATTGGTCAGGAGGCAGGTACTGGTTTCTCTCTATATCCTCTATCTGGCTGCATACTGAACTTCATTTATTCTTTTCTCTATCCCTGCCTTTGTTTGGCTGATTCTTTTGGAATAACAAATCACTAATTTTTTTGAAGACTCGGTGGTTGGCATGTCCTGTGAACCATCTCTTAAGGAGTAATTGGCCCACACAGATGTTTGACCGGAGCTATTTGACAGAATATTCAACATCGAGGTTGTTAGTGTCTGGAGGGCGTATGTTCTATGTGATTTGTGATGAAAAGAGTGATAATTATTGAATGGCTTTGTACAGGACACTGTTCCTCAAGATGATTAACACCATCGTCATTTTTAAGATGGTTGGGTCAAACTGGACCAAAGAGCTTAGGAATTTTTATGGTTGTTAATGTGGACTGTGGAGTTAGACTGTTGGGGTCTGAATCCCAGCTCAGCTGCTTACTACTGGCTGTGGGATCTTTGGGTAAATTCCTTGATCCCTCTGAGCCTCAGTTTCCTCACATATAAAATAATGGGGATAACAGTACCTATCTCATGTTACTGGCAGGATTAAATTAATGGAAATAAGGCACTCAGTAAGTGCTCAATTGGTATAAGTTACTGTGTGTTTTGTTGATATTAGTATAGACATTATTATTTTTACCACCCAAGTTCATAGTTCTGGTAAATGGCAGAACTAAGATTTGAGTCAGGGCCATCTAAGTCTCTTCTGGGCTCCTTTCTTTCCTGCCTTGGTTTTATGATGATGTGCGATAGAGCCCTGGGGGCTCTCTGGGGCCATCTATGGGAGAAAAGAGTTCACTGGGAACAAGGTCCAGTTCTGTTCTTGCTCCCAATCCCTTAGCCGGAGTGGCTTTGCTCTCATTTCTCTTACACGTTCCAAGTGAGGGTTCCTTTGCTTAACGGGTGCCACAGCTAAAAGAAAGTTTGCAAACTGTGTCACCTCATCATGATACCACAGATCCTGCATAAATGACATTAATGTGTGAATGTTTAAATCGTCCCTTCCTTCTTTCTATTCTCTTATTACAGTCATGCGCTGCATAATGATGTTTCAGTCAAAGGCGGACGACATATACGGCGGTGGTCCCGTAGGATTAGTAGCATATAGCCTAAGTGTGCAGTAGGCTATACCATCTAGGTTTGTGTAAGTGCACTCTGTGATGTTCACACCACGACGAAATCGCCTAATGACGCATTCCTGTTCTTAAGCGATGTGTGACTGTAATTTGAAGTCCAACGATGTCAGGTAGTGCCAACACCACTGCCAATACACAGTTGCTTTTGCATCTGTTAAAGTACTCAAGTGAGTACCCAAGGACTGTATTCTCTCACTTTATGAAAACACAATTACCACTTATTTCAATGGAAGAAATTTTTATGGGCTTTCTGCGTGCCTCAAATAGCAACCTTTTATGCAAAACCAACATGGATTCCTACTAAAACAGACAGAAGTCCTTCAGTAATGATTATTCATAATCATGACACTACACAACAAGGAATTTCCCTTTATTTATTACTCTGTAGTACGATAGGCTCCTGTTTACTTTCCAAAACTCTTTCCAGAGTACCCTTAGGACATGTGATATTAATGTTTATGTAATTAAGCCTTTAATGCAAAAAAGTGTCCCCCTCCTCCAATTAATGTAAACAATGCAAACAATACAGGAGATTATCACTCCTATAAACAGGCAGGCTAGGAATATTCTGAAAGGACATCCTGAGGCACAAATACGCCCCTCACCAGCCACAGCGTGGTGACTGTCATCTGGGGGCACTCAACGGCACTGGGGTGTGAGAAAAAGAAATGCCTTGTAAGCAGAAATAGGACTATTAAATGAAACTCCTTGTAAAGTTGAATTCTTAAAACCTGAATGGGTGTATCCCAGGTGGGACTATACTTGATTGGAACCCTAGAATTTTATGCCAGAAAGTTGGGAAGAGGTGATTGTTAAAGACCCCAGGATCCTTGTCAAAAATGATTTGTTTCTAGTACAAAAGACCATTGTTGTACCTTCCAGTAGGATGTTAACCTTTGATCTGGTCTTCCTCCTGGTTAATCCCTGTGATATGGCCTGCAAATAATACCATAATTGAATTATGCTGTTGACAATTGAAATTAACTATATATTGCTTAATTACATCTCTCTGGCTGGCCCAGAGCAACTGCCACTACCCTATTTTTGTATAGGGCTTAATTTGTGGGCTAATGGGTTCGGTGGCTGCTCTGTGAGGCCACTTCTGTAGTAGGACCAGAGAACCCCGTGGTCAGGACACAGCAGGCCACTTATTCATCTTCGCTGTGGCGGG